GCCCTCCTCCCACTCGCCCTCTCCAGAATAAGGGCGGCTCCAAGGTCTCCGTCGGGTCTCAGCCCTTTTGAACTGCTGTATGGCAGGCCCTTTTTTTTTTTTTTTGAGTTGGAGTCTCACTCTGTCGCCCAGACTGGAGTGCAGTGGCCGGGCTCCGGTGATGCTTCTGCCTCAGTCTTCCGAGTAGCTGGAATTACAGGCATGCGCTACCACACCCGGCCGAATTTTTTGATTTATTGTAGAGATGAGGTCTCACCAAGTTGCCCAGGCGGGTCTCGAACCCGCGGGCTCAGGCAATCCACTCACCTCAGCCTCCCAAAACATGGGATTACAGGCTGAGCCAGCGAGCCCGGCTGCTAGGCCCTTTTTAATCAACCACAACCTACCCTCTTCACCACCTCTGCTTGCTTCCTACTTGCCTTGTCTCTGCTTAGGCCGTTGCTAAGGGAGCACGTGGAACGGACCCTTCCCACGGTCACTCCTGACAACCCATCAAGTCCGGTTAATACAGCTCTCCAACCGGGGGATTCAGTTCTACTCAAACAACTGTCCCCTCAAGATCTAACCCCTTGGTGGGTTGGCCCGTTCACGGTGGTCCTCACCACCCCCACAGCTGTCAAATTACTGGGACACTCCTCCTGGTATCATGTCTCCCGTCTCAAATCGGCCCCGGTCATGGGGATCCCTTGGCAATGTCAACAGGTGGGACCTACCCGTCTTTGCCTCACTCATGGTCCTGCTACTTACTCTAGTCCTGCTGCCTCTCTCACGCACAACACCACCGGATAATGGCTACCGTTGGCAGTTTTACGTTGAAGAAACAGCCCAGTCTTACGGTAAAGTCATTACTCAGGTTGTGGGCACCGGATGGTGCCAGTCTAGGGGGTGCCAGGCACCAGTCACCATCAACATCTCCATAGGCAGCATGAACCCCAACCCCGGTCTTCTGTTTCCAAAATGACCAAACTGATGCCAAATGTAACCGATCACCTCAGACATATGGGGGGGTGTGCATATAATTGGTGCAAAGTGCACAAGGTCTACCCTCTCATCCACCTGGGAAAACTAACCCGTTTCACCATCTCTGATCCCTGGCACCCCAGGTGAGCACAGGGAGTTGAGGGAGTTGTTTACAACTTCTGGCTAAACTCCAAATCATCAGGAAAACTGCATTTTCCAAACATACCGCCTTAGTTTTCCTCCCCCTAACAAACTCCCCAGCCTTATTGCAGAAGCAGAAACTTCTTTGGCTAACCAGCTCCCTCCCGCTCCCGAGTGCCAACTGCCCTTCTCCATTCTCTTGGCTCCGTTTAATACAAGAAGGTATCTCATTACCCAACCACTCTTTTGTTGAGAATGTAAATAACTACTTCCTTTGCGCTGCTCTAAACCGCTCCCCTTTGACAGCAGTTCCTGTCACACAATTGTTTAATGCCTCTAGTGTGCCAGTCAACCAGCCTCCTCCTATCCCTGGAGCCCCTTTGTTCCAGTCTCTCGGTAACCTCTCTAATACCTGTTATGGCAGCTCCTGCACATATAGCATCTCCAGACCTGTGGCATCCACTCTATCTGCTCCAAGGGGTGGGTTCTTTTGGTGTAACGGCACCCTCTTCAAATCTATCAACAATTCTTACCCTTGTTGCTATCCGGTAACGCTTGTGCCACAGCTTACGTTCTATTCTGAGGAAGAGCTCTTACTCAAAGCTTTTCCTGCTCCCCATCGCGCCCGCTGTGCGGCATTTCTCCCCCTCATGCTTGGTCTCACGTTTGCCACGTCCTCGGCGGTGGAGGGCTGGGCGGGGGAGCACTGGGACACAGCCTCCTTTCTTCCCCAAAACTGGAGGAAAGGCTCCAAGCAGCTCTACAAGCATCCGCAAACTCCCTGGCATCCCTACAGTGGCAGATAACCTCTCTAGCCCGGGGTTACTTTACAGAACCGCAGAGCCCTTGATCTCCTCACAGCCAGTCAGTGTGGAACCTGCATGTTTCTCCAGGAAGAATGCCATTTCAAACAGGGCTGGTAGAGGAAAATGTCAACGTCCTCCGAAAGCTGGGAGACGAACTTTGCCAAAAAACCACCGCTGAGTTGCCCTTCTCTGCCTGGTGGAACTCGGGCATCGCCCACCTTTGTGATTATTTTTGAACTGTGTGGTGCTGAAGAAGTGCCCCTTACAATTTTGGCCTCTGTAAACATATATTCCTTGACTCAGCCCAACACTACTGATTCACCAAAAGTTGAGTTATTATCTTGATTTCATTAATCTTAATCTCTCTTAAATGTATTTACAGCTCACGTTTATTTCAAAGTTTAATATTAGAAGTGTTGGGGGGTCTTTATTCAGGAATTTGATGGTTTTTGTAACCAGAAATATGCCGTAAGAACTTAACTCTTGCTCTTATCAAGTGGCCTAGGGTAAAATTTGTTTCATTATACATTCTGGTAGAGTTGCAGTTTCCAAGAACCTACTGATGACTTCAGCAAGGACTTACTGTGCAGGGAAGTATAGCTAACATCTTACTGTGTGCTTACTTCTTCCATTTTTCTGTGCCTTTCTTTTTTCTTGCCTTTTTTGGTTGTTTTTCTTGTACCAATTTCCCACTGTACCAGTTAGGAGTTATGAGCACCAACCACTTTTAGCTTTATGATAACATTTTATCAGAGATATCTTAAAATTAGTCAGTACTTATCACAATGCCCTGTCTGAATACAAAGGCCTTGGGGATACTTTAATTTTGGTCATCCTTCCCAACTTACTTGCTGATGTGGTTCACTATTTAATCTTTTTGGGTTTTTTTTTGAGTTGGAGTCTCACTCTGTCACCCAGACGAGTGCAGTGGCCGCTCCAGCCACTACAGCCTCAACCTGCTGGGCTCCGGCGATCCTTCCACCTCAGCCTTCCAAGTAGCCAGAATTACAGGCATGCTCTCTACCACGCCCAGCTAATTTTTTTCTATTTATTGTAGAGATGAGGTCTCACCAAGTTGCCCAGGCGGGTCTCGAACCCACCGGCTCACGCAATCCACTCACCTCAGCCTCCCAAAGCGCAGGATTACAGGCTGAGCCACCGAGCCCGGCTTATTTAATCTTTAATTGAACAAATTAGGCATCATTTATCTGTTGTGTCACTTGCAAAAATAACAAAGGCTCACTAAATTTGGAATTAAGTCTTTTCTCTAATTCTGACACCAACTAACATTTTATAAATTTACAGAGACTAATTTCATGACAAATCAAATGATGAGGCTTAAAGTCAAGGCTCATCAACTATACACATTGACTAACAGCTTTTTCAAATCCTATATAGGCTACAGGCCTTCATGTAAAGGGAACAGAATCCTCACAATCTTCCTGTTGGGTTTCTGCAATAACCAGTTTACTACCTTTAATCCAAGCTCCATGTTGCAACCTAAGTGATTTTTCTATAGTGCCCTTTAATAAATTTCCAAACCTATAGCCAAAAACAAATTCCCAGATCCTTGGCAAGGCTTAATTGCCTTTTATTCCAACTACATACTAGGCTCCATCCTGTTAGAGGATTGCATTGCTACGCTGTTTGGTCACATGTTGTATCTTTATAAAGATGCAATTCTTATTCATCCTTTAAGAATCCAATGTCACTGAGAAATCTTTCTGGATGCCCTTCGGTACTCCCTCACCACTCCTCCCTGTGTTTTCTTAGCACTTGGTGGAAGTATTTGTGGTAGATGCTTGGTTCAGATCTACCACCTATTCACTGTGTGATTTGCGCCTTGGCATTTTATCTAGTGAATTAAGTTACTAGTACTTACTTCACAGGGTTGTGAAATAGATATATAAAACAAGTGTCCAGGAATCAATGCAAGGGTTCCACAAATGCTCTCTTCACTCTTCCATAAACTTTGAGTTCCCAGTATGTGCAAGATGTCAGGAATACATCTAAAAGATGAACAGGACATAGTTCCTCTGCTTAAGGGGCTCACAGAATAGCAGAAATAAACCTGGTAGTTGCACTACACTGTATAACAATTAAAATTTTCTAAATGACCCACATATATAAACAATACAATCTGAGAAAGTTTTATGAGTGTAGACTGGAACAAATGACAACTTCTAGCAACTGTGCCTTTCTTTTTTCTTGCCTTTCTTGGTTGTTTTAGAATCATGGAGGCAGTGTCAGATTAACTACAGGTTATACTCTGTATTCAAAGATAATTAAAGGCATAAATCAGACTGTTCAAGTGTTGGTTAAATATGACTTTTGCAGAAAATATTATTTAAAGGAATGAGCAATCAGTAGTATAAAATAGTTTCTGCTGAATCCGGACAAAAGTGTTCAACATTCAAGGGGAATCTCCCCAAAAGCCAGAATTATCTTTTAGAGGGTTGACTCCTTGTAGTATGGGCTTCCCCAACTAGGTAAGTGTTCTAGAAACCCATCGGCACCAGTGTACCAGCTAACGCTGTTGTGAGAGGCTGGGAGTGACTTTGGGGAATTTTTTGTGGGGGGAGATTCTTTCAATGCATTTGCCCATTTCATGATGGGTGATTTGCAAGCACACCTGCCGCGCTGCACTGGGTGTCAGCAATTTTTGACCAAAAATGGCATGACTCCCAAGCTCCACTCTCCCTATTCGCCCCATCTCACCCTGCAGTGACTTTCATTTCCCCAGATGAAGAAAGTCCTGAAAGGGAAACATTTTGTCAATCACTCCAAGCGACTTTTTTTTGTTTCCCTGGGTGAAAAAAGTGCTCAAAGGGAAACATTTTCTCAACGTGGAAGAGGTGAAACAAAAAATGGCAGAAGCACTAAAAGGCATCAAAATTGGCAAGTTCAAAAACTGTTTTGAGCAGTGGAAACAGCATCTTGATATGTGTATTGCATCAAACGAGGGGTATTCTGCAGGTGACTGAAGTTTAAACATGTAAGAATAAACACACGATTTTAAAAATACGTTCCGTCTAGCACATTGAAAAAATTTAAAAAACCCATCCAAGCATTTAGGAAAACACTTACAAAACATTTGTCATATGCATAGTTTATTTTAAAAAAGTGTTAAAAACTATCCATACAGGAGTATTTATTAACATACTTAAAAAGTTTGTTTCCTATGTTGAAGGAAAATACATTAGCAACATCTTCCAGACACCATCTTTATAAAACTTCTAGATGCTGAGATGTACTACAGTAGATTCTATAGTTTGTACTTGTAATCACAGGATTGGAATTCATCCTCCCTACTTCCCTCCCCCCAAACGTGGCAGTTCTTCTTCTTAAGTTAGTAACATTCAATCGTATTCTATTACCACGGATCCTTAAATAGAGTGTACGCTGCCTATCTACTAACAGAGCAAGTCTTCTCTATCTGCGGTCACATAATTATTTCAGATAAGCATTTGACTTTAAGTACAAATAGAAACGCCACATCCCATGATTGTAAACATTCACCAAGCGCTTCCAGAGCATAAAGAGCATAGAGGTGGCCCAAGAGTCAGCCAAGTGATTCCCCACTTGGATACCGCTGAGCGAGGACAAATGTTTTGAAACCAAAGTATTGCAAGCCTCACTTGTACTTCTGTAGGAAAGTAGTTCCGGATTACACCTTTAGTCAAAAACACCTGAAAGTCATTCTAAAGACTACGTGGGGCACCCTTTTCACTTACCTGAAATACATTGAGTTAAATTCAGCAGTATATATAATTGATAACAACAAGAATGAAACATGTCTGCGAGTCTCCAGTTCCCTTGAGTGGATAAGACAGAGGGCTGAGTTCCAGGCTGCTAACAGGAACCGCTCATGCATACCAGGGCAGTAAGCCCCCAGGGCCACGTGCAACCCCTGTCTGGGGCACAGCTATCACTTCTGTCTGTGGATGCTGTATGACCAGATTTAAGGCTGTCTTCGGCTATAGAGAGTTCAATCTCCTCTTTAATAGTCTTTCTAAGCAGATCACAAACATGATTCAAAGTTTCATAGGTCAGGAAGTGAAAAGTCCTCCAATACTTCTTAAATGCCATTCTCCATACAACTTATCTCAGCTTATTTACACAGGGGAGGGCTCATACTTAAAACCAGATTATAAAATGCGCCACGATTTTCCAACTCATCAGTTTCCCCAGGACAAGTCTCATTCTCAGTTTTTGACTGTGGCCACCTTCACATGTGCCACATTGCTCACTGCAGTCCTTGGGCAATTCCGACGTCGCTCTGCAGGAGAATGCAGGGAAGGGATATTCACTGCCACCCACTTTGGGACAGGCCTGGCTGCAAGGAAAATGGTGTTCCTGGAGCCGAAGGATAACTCGGGAAGCCGTCGGGCTGGGCCGCATAGCTCTCCAGAGCTGAAGCTGAGTGGACCTGAGAGAGAGAACACGTGGTTCAGCAGAGAGCCTGGTCCAATCAAGTCTGGACTTGCTTTTGCGGCGCCACACTGGAGACACTCCAAACAGGAGAAAGACGACACTTGGGGGCAAAACCAAGTCTGCTCAGTCTCCCAACATTTTTAAGAAGTGTTTAAACTTCTTTAGGTGAAGGAGAGGCATAGAAATGTCATTATAAAACAGTTAACATTCGTTCAAAAAGTCAATCGGTTTCCTCGTGAGAACTTGCTTTCATGGCCCATTATTTCAGCTTCAATTATAGAAGATAAAACTTAATTGGCATGAATAAAGATGCCACTTTATTAAGTAAAATCTCCAAACTTTCTATTTAAAATTTATAAGTAGATGAGTACATCCACTGCCTTACTGACTTCAAATGAGCATAATGTGTGAATCTGGGGAGAACTGATCACAGAACCTCCATGCATCCTGGTAAGAGCCAGTTTTTGGCCAGCGTGGGGACGACACCCATACTCTGCAGTGGCATCATTGCAGCAGCCACGCATGCGCGTAACCATCTCACTCAGGCCACATGCGACCCACTCACCTGCTGTAACAAGGCCGACTGTGCAGCCGCGTTGTGCTGCAGCTCTTGCAAGGACGACTGCGAAGGGTTCTGCGAAAACCCGGGAATACCTGGGAGGGACAAAAGGCCCGAAAAAACAGAGCTGCTTGCAGCTTGGAGTCCGGATGACAAACTAAAAAAAAGAGAAAAACAGGTCAAACTGCAAAGAAGATCTAAAAGCCGCTACTTTTGTGTTTGTCAAAGGCTCTTTACTCCTGCTGCAAGGAACCATAAAAGTCATCCACTCGTGTAAAGCTTGTCACTGTATATACTATCCCGAACCCAGCAGGTCCGGGTTCTGCACGCGACACGTTCTGCCATCCTGAGCAAAAACGACCCAGTCCAGAAACGATGTCGACAGGCACCGACGACGTCCCAGGGCCAGGGGGCGAGACACTTCTGGGTCCCCAGGCAAACCTCGCTCGGCACCCCACCGACCAGGCCCCGCCTCGCCCAGGCCTGCCCGCCCGGACGCCCCACCCGTCCCCCAGCACGTACCCTGCCTGTGC